CAGGATTTGTGAGGACTTATCAAAGTGTCTGAAATGTACCATTCCGGCCTCACCTTCAGTCTGCTTGTTGGGCGACCTAGACGGTGTCACTATAGAGATTGACTTTGACTGCATGGCTCCCCCCTGAGACCAGGGCTGCAGTTGTCCCTGCGGTGGTCCTCCTGGGACTCCCGTGTCCTGGGGGGCCTCTGGATGTCTGGGGCCCGGGTCTCCTCCATATCTGCTTCATGTCCTGGGGGTCGGGGCTGTGGTTCCCCACTCACACCACTAGACAGTTACATGGAGAAAGCTTATGAACACCAGCACACTCACACACACAGGTGTACAAACAGGTACTCACAGACACACACTGTCTTGATCGGCTGTTGCTTCTAAACATACAGTATATTGTAATATTAGTTCTGTGCTGTTCAACATTTATCATTTAATGTTCACTGTGATTCATACAGATGTTGGCTGTTGCTGTAGTTTCTCTGCTGTTTCTTTTTTTTCAGCAGGTACTGAACCAGATTATCTGTTTTTTCTCCCTCTCTATCCTCCTTCATCTCCTTTTTTTCCTCTCTGTCTCCCTCTCCTGTTGAAGAAAAAAAAAAGGAAAGGAAGGAAAGTTTTTTTTAAATAAAAAATAAAGCAGTCCTTTGCAGAGGGGGGTGGTGGAAGGAGTGTATGTATGTATGTATGTATGTATCTATATATATGGCTCCCCCCTGAGACCAGGGCTGCAGTTGTCCCTGCGGACATATATATATAGGAACTAATCTGTAATGTTACCATGGTGCTTAGCAGTGGTGGATAATTCAGGTCCAGAGAGTAAAAATCCAGTCCAAGATTTTGTTTCAACCTACCAGCTGAGTTCTCTGCATCACAGATGAACAAACATGAGCTCTTTATGTAACTCAGACTTACTTTGTGGTTAATTAATACATAACTAAGACCTTAATAGTTAATACTATATTATTTGTGCCCCCCCCATTTGTTTTCTTATTTCCTATTTTTTTTAAGTTATTTTTGTTGTTGTTTTCTGGATTTGATGCAATGTATAGCACTGTCATGTTACTGAAAGAAAATAGTGTGGGGGGGTGGTCTGACTGTCTATGACCATGTATGGCACTAACACATAAAGTTTCCTGTTTGAAGTTGACACATGGCCTGTGTATGTAAGTGAGAATGGGCGAACATATTGTGCCTTTGAACAGGGTATGACAGAAGATAGCAGAGATGGAGAATCATGATAAGCCGTGGCACTGGGTTTTCAGGTTTAATGCTATTTCGCTGTATATCCGTAAAATTCCACCAGGAGGCATGCAATCACATCATTATCTTATCTTTAAAACAATAATAAAATTGCGTTGTTCAGTCCTGTCTTGTTACTGTTGCATCTTAACTGCCAGTTCGCTTAACCTAAAGTTAATTAGAGATGAGCTACAGATACAAGGTGCACGTTTCTGAAGTTCAAATGTTTGGTCTGTATTTGCTGACACAGTAGCTTATATCATTTGCTTTGGAAGGAAGGTAAGCAGCTAAATGTGTCACGGCGGGGCATGACGGAGGAGGGGCGATTCATGCAGCGACTCCCAGCAAAAGGGGCGTATTAACAAACAGAACATAGAGTACAGGGAAGGAAAGGTGTCCCATGAGGGGTCAAAACTAAACAGGACAAACATGAACTAATTAACTAATCACAAGGTTAACTAACACTAAAACTAGGAAGATATGGGAACCGAGCAAGGGGTCAAACACTAATGACACAGGAACTTACACACAGTAACAACTATGGGTAACCACTGAACACCATTAGCACAGGGCAAACAGCCACAATGACCAACTCACCCATGTTCAACTGCTGTTCACATGGACCAGTGAAGGACAGGAACTGATACTGACATAAATGCAAATTTAAGGTGCAAACGGCATAATTAAGGCAGACCGCTAAATATTTCTGTAAATGGTCCCCTTCACACCTTCACTGTTTGTCTCTCCCAGGGATCAGACTGCATGTTCTGTCGACTACTGCTAAAGCTCCCCCAGTGAAACAAGAACCCACCTGATTTGGATACTCTGTCATTGTTTTCCAGGAATGGTATTGGTGGCAATGATCAAGTCTGGAGTTTCATATTGAGCANCAAATAGTGTTGACTGCAGTGGGTCTGCAGAAAATGCCCCCATCCAGAATGCCATGTTCGTATCAAGTGAAGGATCATTCACAAATCATCTCTAGCGATCAGCCACTGCTTCAGCACACAGTGTTCTTAAATACTGGAATCTTTGAGTAATTGTGTTAACATTAGACCATTGAAAATGGCATCTAACTCGCATGTTTTGTTTTGCCTGCAGAAAAAGCATGGAATTGAAAAATGGAAAATGTGTAGGGACCCAGCTTATTGCGGCCAGTGTCCTTAAGAACCGCAAACCTGGGGATCTTCATGGTGGCCGTCTGTGTGGGTGAGCGGCTGCCAGAGCTGTTTCGTAGCGCTGTGTGGTGCCCCCCCTCGTATTCAATCTTACCAGCCTCCGGATTATGAAAGTAACAAAAGCAAACTTAGATGCATGATTGGGAGAATGGATGAAAGCAATCCGCTATGAGTTACTGTTTTTGTTGGTGTAGTTATGGTGAAGAGGTCGGGAGGTATTCGCAAATCACGTTTTTGCAGTGACAGGCCTAAACCTTACCTACAGAGTTAACAATGGGTGTGATATTCACGTAGCTGATCCCATCTGTTTGGCAAACCGCTTATTATTCAGTTTCTTTTACATTATTCCTATAGCGTTATTTAGTTTCAGTGTCCTGCGTGGTATCTGTGATTTTGTGAGCCAGCCCATGGAGAACACACCTACCTCCAGCACACTATTTGAGGACTAGGCTGGTCGTTGGTGCCACCTTCTGGCCATGCCATGTACTACATGGCTCAATGCTGGTATTGTGTGTTTTAAATCAGGGGTTTAGCAGAAGCAAGGTGACCACTCGCCCGGATTTCATCTGGACAATCTGGTTTTCTCACCCTCTACCCAGACTGCTGTTGGGTGTCTCCTTTTAGCCCCCTTTTCTCTCCCCCTACCTGCCTCCTCGTCAACTAGTGCTGCTCTCTCCAACCCCTAATCACACGAAAAACACATACTATACAAGCTGAGACCAGCCGTGCTTTCAAATATTGTTAATGCCATTCGTTAGCGATAACAAGATGATTGTTGCGATAGATATACTGTTCTCGGCTTCCGTTGTATGCATGCTCAGCTGCTCTTCATGGGTGTCCTCCTTTTTAAGCCTTAGTCCTCTCTTTTGGACACAGGTGTCCTCCTTTTTAAGCCTTAGTCCTCTCTTTTGGACACAGGTGTCCTCCTTTTTAAGCCTTAGTCCTCTCTTTTGGACACAGGT